TTCGGGGAGATACAATGTTTCCCAGTAGGTACTCAGTACATAGAGTAGATGCTCAGGTATATAAGAGTAATAATGAAGTAGGTACTTCGTACTTCGAATATGAGTATCTACTCAGTTTTATTCATACCACTCAATGTCTCGCTTCAATGTTTGATTATGTTGATTATTATGAGCACAACGCTGATCAACTTCCATATCCGAATTACCCATGAAATAAATCATTGCGGTTTGCACCTGAGGTAGTTCGTCGCACATTTGATTGACTTCGTGGACCTATGTGAGGTTGTCGTCTTCTCGGCATTTTAATGAACTTCATAAAACGACACAGAATTATTTTCACAGTCAATCAAATCTGTAAATTTTGTCTTGAGAATTTTAAAATATTGAAAACTTCAAATTAAATCCTCGAATAACGGTAAAGTTTGAGGTTTTGTCGAAACCAACAAAGTGAATATAGGTAAATAGAATGGCAGATCAAAATTAATAAGAAACTTTCGCAATGTGTAATTAAATTCACTTTAACCAAGACTTTTCTTAAAATAAACGCCGTTTTTTTTTTACGAAAAACAAAGAACGATTTGAAATGCAATATACTTTTCACAATTGCACGGAAGAATTAGTTTTGTATGACACGTCAGTTAGACGACAGGTCCGTCAGAAACGCCAACTATTGAAATTAATTCGAAGTGGCGATTCCCATACAAAATTTTTAGATTTTTTTTATTTTTTAACTGTTCTTTTAAGTTTTCCTTATTTTTTTTATTTATAAACCATCTCCGTAATATAAAAAATTCTTCAAATCGGTCAAGCCGTTTTTGAGTCTTAGCGAGACTAACAGGAACAGCAATTGATTTTTATTATATAGACGATTAAAAAATGGGGGTTGGTGGTAGAAAGGTGAAAATTTAGGGTTATGTGTATTTTTTGATGCCAATTCTTAAAAAAATAAAAATAAAAAAATTTGTCCAAAAAATAGACAAAAATTTTTTAGGGTGGGCCACCCTTATCACTTAGGGGTTTAAAAAATAGTTTACAACCTATTGTCAGACCTACCGAATAGACACAAAAAATTTCATACAAATCGGTTTACCCATTTCGGAGAAGTTCGGTTACAAACATTGTGACGCGAGAATTTTATACATAATGCATTATTATTTTAGAACAAATTTCATTACCATAAAAAAGGTTATACTGACTCGACCTTAAAAGATAGACATATGCTGTCGCGGACTTTTCTTTAGAACTTTTAGAGGGGAACAATTTCGTCATACATGATTTTTACGTAACTTTAACCGTTTAAGCAGCGTAAGCAACGGAAGCTGTCAAAGGAGGAATAATTTTCCCGTTTTTCCGAATTTTTCATTGCTACTTCGCTCCTAATGATCGTAGCGTGATTTTATATAGCCTATATGTAGATATGATACATGAACTATCCAACACAAAAAGATTTTTTGAATTTGAACCAGTAGTTTCTGAGATTAGCGTGTTCAAATAAACAACAGCTTCAGCTTTATTATATAAGTATAGAAGTATAGATGACAATAATATTAGTGACATTGTGAATGCATTTTATTGTTATCTAACTTTTATCTGTGATAATTTTGTACCTATGTGGAAATCAAGGAGTAAAAAGTTTTCGGTGTGGTTTAGTGATGAGGCTCGTAATCTTGTAAAAAAGAAAAACAGTGCGCATCGTAAATATAAAATAACTGGCGATATTAGAGATTATGCTGACTTTGTTTTTTTTTAGAGCAGAATGCAAGAGAATTATTTCTGAATGTTATAATATGTATGTACATCAACAAAACGGAATCCGAGATTAATTCTAATCCCAAACACTTTTGGAATTTTGTTAAAAATATGAAAAATAGTTGTGAACTTCCGAACACCATGAAGTATAATGATGGTCATATTCTTGGGTATGGAAACATAGTAAACGCTTTTGCCAATTACTTCTCTTCTGTTTATACGAAAAGTAATATCAGTAGTTACCATAATTATCCCTATGAAATTAAATGACTTGTTGATATCAAGGATTTACATATTACAGAAGATATTGTATTTAATGAATTGAAGTCTCTCGATCTTAGTAAAGGTGCGGGCCCGGATGGACTTCCGCCTATATTTTTTTATAATTGTAGAGATTCTCTGACGGTACCACTTGTCAATATTTTTTCGATCTCGGTTCGCTCTGGTAAATTTCCTGATTTATGGAAGTCGGCGCGTGTTGTACCAGTCTTTAAATCTGGAGATAAACATCATATTGAAAATTATCGCCTTGTCAGTATATTGTCCGTTCCATCAAAACTTTTTGAAAATATTGTGTACAAATTTATATTTGAGTCGTTTAAGAATGTAATTAGCTTATATCAGCATGGTTTTTGTTCAGGCAGGTTAACGTTAACCAATCTTTTGACTTTTGTTGACGAGATTCTTGATGCTTTTGAAGTCGGTGCGGAGGTTCATTGCATTTACACCGATTTCAGCAAGGCTTTTGATACTGTTAATCATAGATTACTCATGTATTAACTCTATCTTTATGGTGTAAGAGATCCATTGCGTTCATGGTTCAATTCTTACATTAGTGTAAGAACGTACGTTTTTGTGAGAAAATTATCTTTGAATTTAGACCAAATTGAAATAGACACTAGGCAACAGGCACATTTGAGCAAAAGAAAGAGAAATTAGGGTTACGGCTTCAAATTTTGGACGTATTTACAAACTTAGACCGACTACAGCAATAGCTAAAACTGTGGAGTCTCTGTTGTACAGTACATTTAGAGGTAATAGTCATACATACTATGGACAGCAAAGAGAATTGAAACTAAATAAAAAAATCATGATTACTACTTTTACCTGGAAAGTCGCTTCCGTAAATGGTAGTGGCGCTCCTATCGGCAAAGTACTGAACTAACGGCTCAAAATCTGTCGAATTGATATCCATTTTTTTCAATAATTGTTAGTTTTTGTTAAAAACTCTGCTAACCAATAGATCATTAATTTTCCTCTGATATTCCTATTAAAATTATTCAACGTATTTTGCATTAATTTGTGGTATATTTTGATTTTAATAAACACATTATTATTTAAACAAATTGCACCACTAACAAACATTTAATGACTCTGCGCCCTGTAAGAAGTGATGTTTTATCCATGTGTGAATTTTCAAGCGATTCTATGATGGTTATGACTAAAAAAACTTGAAAAGAAAACATACAATGGTGCTTTTTTTCTCAGCCATATTTTTTTAGTTGATTGAACTGGTCTCTGCGCTCTAGAATATGAAAAAAGCTGCAGTTTGATGTATGATACATCTATATTAATATCTTTTTTTGCACATGTTTGACCTGTAAAATCTTATTGAACGTAAATTTCCATGCTCTGCAGTGCCAAACCTCACGTAATTTTTGCCTATACAAGTTTTACTTCACACCAGATTGACTTTTTTTTGTTTTATAAATTTTTGCTAGTTTTTTTTTTTTGTTAAATATTTTGTTGATTAATGTTTGCATCATATAAATTCTCTGCTGTCCATTCTTAATCTTGAATAAGAATTCTTTGTTGTTTCAAATTTCACGAGAGTGTATGGCGAATTCACATGTTGTTTATTGCTTTTTTTTTCTGAAACGTTAACACTTGTTCAGTCGTCGTTTAATATCAGAGTTATACAGTGTGGAAGATTTAAATGGAATTGAGGTTAAATAACACAGAAACACGTGGCAGAAGCGGAGGGCGCGGTTCCTAGTAGAGCTGGCGCAATTTGATTTCATTCAAAGTTTGGAAAGTTTTTTTTTGTAGCTGAGCACTAAGAAGGTCTTCAACCTGCGCAACTTAGTCGCAGCATTTTTTTCTTTTTTTTTGTCAGTGGAGGAATAAATGATTTTGTGTCCTCCATATATTTGGTGTTTTATTTAGCTTTGGGTTTTCAGAGGTGTTTTATTTTTTACGAATTTGAAAAAGTCTCGAGTGCTGCAGTGTGTTTTTTTTTTAATTCGTGAGACTCTTGGGTACCCATGGCATATTATATTGGGAGCCTATGGATATTATTTAAAACAATTTTGGGGGACTTTGGTGTTTTGTTTTTGGAAAATTCTGACCTTACCTGTTTTTGAGTCAATTTTGGGAGACCGTTCTTTTTTGAAAAATTTAAAACAATTTTTAGGTTCTAGGTATTCCTGTTTCGAAAGAATTTGAAAGTGCTTTGGAGTCTCTACTGTCTTTTCATATAATAATTTAATTAAAATTTTTAGAGGATACGTCATTTGCCAAAATCAGTCTTATCTAAGCAGGTATTAGTACCGCCCACCCACCCTCTCTTTTCTTATAGAATACTGCCTCGTGACCCTAAACACGCTATATTTTTGAAATCAGCACGCCGAAATCTGTGTCCTACATTTTTTTGAGAACTTTTACCCAACTTTTTCAAAATTCCAAATTTTATCATTTAAAAAAATTTCGACCTGTTTTGACAATTTTTGAACATCACCTAAACACATTTTCTTGTGGATTTATTATTAGACAATTGCTACCATATTTTTGGAATCGCCGACTGAAAGAAATGTCGCAATTTTTAGAATTTCTTAAAAAAACTTTGATTTCAAGGCGATGATTTCGAAAATCTTTTGACCATTTTCTTGTCGGTTTCTAAGCCATTTGATTAACATTTACAGAAATATAATATCCGAAAGAGAGTTCTACAAAAGCATCTATTTTAAAGTTGAGGACTTTGATTGATTATCGTGTTTGATGTCATCCAGACACGAGATTAATCAAAACGAGAAACAATTTATCATTGTGGGTTCAGATAACACTTCGACAACTTTCCAGACTCATAAATCAGCCGATCTTCCCTCGCCAAACCTAACAATTCCATATCTCCTTAATAAAACACAATCAATGATAAAACATCATTTATTACATTCAATTTAACAATAAATAAAAAATATACAAACATGAGTTTACAATACATTATTGTTCTATTAAAAGAACACGTTTTGGAGTTTTTGATCGCCTTTATTTATCTACTCATGGTGTGTTGTAGTCTCTTAAGGTACTATTTGTTTTTAAGATATAACATGATACGTACATATACAGTCCTGGCAGCCCTAGTGTTTACACTAGCGTACTGACAGAAGGGAATTTCGGGTTAATGCTGTTTAAACATTTCGAAATCGAATTTCTATTAGAGTCTACGCCTAAAAAAATATTCAAGTTAAAGCATCGTCATTTAAGCATCTTTACTTATGTGCAATTATTGCTTTTATTTTTTTTTCTCTGTACAAAACAAAAAGTCATCGGAAATATGTTGCGAAAAAAGTTAAATTGGACCCTAAGATTGCAGCTGATAAGGTGTTACTAGTCATTCCAGTCGCTATTATTTTTTAAATAAATAAAAAAAAACTGCTAAACAGCTGACTGAAATAAATAGTAGACACAGATAACGATACACATTTATGTACAAAGTCAAACAAAGTACTTAACTGAAAATTGACAAACTCCAACCAAAAACACACCGCTAACTAACGAAATATAACCTAGACGTTCGTTAGAATGACCTATTACAATATTCAGATAACGCTTAGTAAAAAATATACAGGGTGTTTCAAAAAACAATTTCCAAGCGACAAATGTTGGAGGTATTTGTTGACATTTTGACACCGTTGCAAAATTTAAACTCCCAAGATTATTTTTGAAAGAGAAGTAAAAAAAAACATTTGTTGAGAAAGTTCTTTGAACCACCCCACATTACATTAAAAAAGTGATATCGGGGAACATTAGATATCTTCATACTTGTTTAATAACCAACTTACTCTTACACAGTCATCTTTATACTTACGTCTACCCTTAACCTAGACTCTAGACTCTAGAGTAACGAAGTGAGCAGATACTCTTCCATGTCGATTGCTGGGTTTGGATTTGGGTTAGGTCACCTCACCCTACCCGAAGGCGACCTCAGGTGCGAACGTATATAACCTGTACGATAATCCACCACGTCTCGGCGATGAGTTCCCTGCATTCCATGCCTGCTCCGCCTGCTCCACCTGTATTATTTATGTGGGGTTAGTTGTGGTAAAGTGCGGGTGGGCGGGTTCCCTAGGGAGTTGGGTATGTCGGGGTTTGGCTCCTGCATGCAACATGGAGATTATGGTGACTTGACTGATGAAGAGTCACCGATTGTCTCACGAGTGTCTGAGTCTAAAACAACTTTTATATAGGGCATTTCAATGAATATGGGTCACCCTGTATTTTATTTTGACAAAAAAACCAAAAATAAATTTGTCAAGTCCTTTCGAGTCGTAATAGAACTGGTGGAATTTATGTTTTTGAGATTGGTAGTCACTACAAATGTCACTGTCATACATATACATGTACTATAATAAAGTACTTTAGGTTTGACAGTTACAGCTGTCAAGTAAATTAAATAAAATGATAATTTCATGTTTGTTGAAATAGCGGGTGACTATTAACCATTGAAGCAAATTTTTGTGTTAGTATGTCAGTTCACAGTTGACAATCAGGTTTGCCACCATAAAATTTTAAATATGTCGCTAACATGTTCAAAATGGCAAATTTTTGTAGGGAAATACGGATTTTTCGATCAAGTTCCGACCCCTGGCTCTCGACGAATAAAAAAATCACCACAATTGAGGTGGGGTGGGTGGGCGGGTTTTATCTTTTGACTTTTCTACAACAAGAAACTGAAAACATGTTTAAAATGGTAAATTATATTCCCCACACTTGTCTACAAAATTACCATTTTTAATCATATTTTTAGTTTCTTGTCATGAAAAGAAAACTACCTACATATATTAAGAAAAAAAAAGCAAAATACAAACCCCGCCCACCCTCCCTCATTTCAATTGTGATGACTTTTTATTTGTCGTGAGCCCAGGGGCGGGGCTTAATGGCAAAAGTGCTTATTTCTCTACAAGAATGTACCATGTGAAACATGTTTTTAAGTATCATGTTGTTGAAAGAAAACTATATGTCAAAAAATAAGCCCCACCTTCAAATGTGATGAATTTTTCATTTGTTGTTACAGCGAGGGACGGAGCTTAATGGTAAAATCAATATTTTCCGACAAAAATTCACCATTTTTAGTTTGATTTTTGTTTTCTCGATTATAATTTTTCAGTTTTTCTTATTTCCATAATTAAACTTTAAGATTTTTAATTTTTGAGTTTTTCAATTTTTAGAATTCTCGATTTTCTAAATTTTGCAATTTTCAATAACCTGATTTTTCAAATTTTCGATTTAATTTTTCAAATGTTAAATTAATTCATTCTTCATGCAGTTTTTCGAATTTTCAATTTTAAAATTTGTCTATAAACAAATGTTACAGTGTTGCCATATTTCGATGTTTCAGTTTCTAGATTTTTGATTTTCCAATTTTTTCGGTTTGTCAATTAAAATTCTAATTTTCGATTTACAGCTTTTAGATGTTTTAAATTTTGATTTTGTAGTTTCACGATTTCCATTTTAAAATTTGTAGATTTTTATTTTTTGAATTTTTCAATTTTTTGACGTCTTACTAGAGTGGTACAATTTTCGAGTTTTTAAATTTTGATTTTTTAATTTCACGATTTTTGAACTTTTAGAATTTTCGGTTTTCAAATTTTTATTAATTTTCAATCATCTAATTTTTCAATTTTTCGATTTAATGTTACAAATTGTCAATTAACCCATTCCTCAATTCGCAGTTTTTCGAATTTTCAGTAGAAAAAATTTTCTATAACCAAATTTTACAGTGTTGCCATTTATCGATGTTTCAATTTCTCGATTTTTGATTTTCCAATTTTTCTGATTTTTCAGATATTCGGTTTTGGATTTACAATTTTTAGCTGTTTTAAATTTTCGTTTTTCGAAGTTTCCCGATTTTTCAAATTTTTGTTCCTTCACTTTTTCGGTTTTCTTATTTATTGATTTTTTAAAATATTCAATGTTTCTGTGTTACCATCTTTAGATTACAAATGTTGCTGGATTTTATTTTAAAATGTTTCGATTTTTTAACTTTAAAAATTAGCAATTTTTAGAATTTTAGATTTTTCAGTTTTTCAATTTTTGTTTTCTCGGTTGATTATTATTTTTCGATTTTCCAATTTTTCGGCTACATATTTTTCGATTAGCAACTTTTCTAATTTTCAGTCTCAAATATTTCAGTTTATCAACTTTGCGACTTTTTCTTGAATTTTTGGATTGGGAATTTTTCTTATTTCCATTTTAAAATTTTTAGATTTTTAATTTTTCAGTTTTTTGATGTTTCATTTTTACCATCTTGTGATAAGAAATTTTTTTGGTTTTCATTTTTAAATGTTTCGATTTCTTAACTTTTAAAATTTTCAGTTTTTAGAATTTTGGATTTTTCAATTTTCTGATTTTTGTCTCCTCGATTATAATTTTTCGATTTCTTCTATTTCTCGATTAGCAATTCTTCTAATTTTCAGTTTTAAATATTTCAATTTTTCAACTTTTGAACTTTTTAGTTTTTAGATTTTTAATTTTTCAGTAAGTACTTGAATTTTTTGTTTCTTTAATTTTTCGATTGGAAATTATTCTTATTTCCATTTTTAAATTTTGAGATTTTTAAGTTTTGAATTTTTCAATTTTTCCATGTTTTCATGTTATAATTTTTCGATATGTTAAATTTTGATTTTACAATTTTTAGAAATTTCGCTTTTAAATTTTTCAATTTTTCGGTTCAATTTTTCAAATATTCAATTTATTCATTCTTCAATTTGCAGTTTTTCGATGTTTCAATTTCTTGATTTTCGATTTTCCAAATCTTCCAATTTTTCAATTATTTTGTTTTTCAATTTAGAATTTTTTTGATGTTTTAAATCATCGTTTTTTTCGATGTTTCAATGTCTCGATTTTTGAATTTTTCAATTATTCGATATTTCCGTGTTGTTATTTTTTGATTTCTTAAATTTTGATTTTTCAATTTTTAGAAATTTCGGTTTTCAAATTTTTGTAATTTTCAGTCACCTGATTTTTCAATTTTTCGACTTAATTTTTCAAATTTTCAATTAACCCATTCTTCAATTTGCAGTTTTCCGAATTTCAGTTTCTCGAATTTTGATTATCCAATTTTTCCGATTTTTCAATTATTCTATTTTTTGATTTACAATTTTTTGATGTTTTAAATTTTGTTTTCTTCGATGTTTCGCGATTTTTCAACTTTTGTTCCTTCATTTTTTCGATTTTTTATTAAATTTTTCGATTTCTTAACTTTAAAAGTTTTCAATTTTAGAATCTTAGATTTTTCAGTTTTCCGATTTTTGTTTTCTCGGTTGATTATAATTTTTCGATTTTCCAGTTTTTCGTTTCTTTTACTTTTTGATTAGCAACTTTTTTAATTTTCAGTTTTAAATATTTCAATTTTTCAACTTTTGAACTTTTTAGTTTTTCGATTTTTAATTTTTCAATATTTAAATTTTCTTTATTTCTTCAATTTTTCGATTGAGAATTTTTCTTATTTCCTTAGTTTCATTTTTAGATTTTAATTTTCCGATGTTTTAGTGCTACAATTTTTCGATTTCTTAAATTTTGATTTTTCAATTTTTCGATTTAATTCAATTTTAAAATTTTTCTATAACCAAATTTTACAGTGTTGTCGTTTTTCGATGTTTCAATTTCTTGATTTTTGCTTTTCCAAATTTTCCGATTTTTCAATTATTCTGTTTTTCGATTTTGAATTTTTTGATGTTTTTTCAAATTTTCTCGTTTTTTCAATGTTTCTCGATTTTTCAACTTTTTGTTTCTTTACTTTTTCGATTTTTTAGAGTTTTGAATTTTTCAATTTTTCGATGTTTTAGTGTTACCATTTTTCGATAAGAAATTTTTCGATTTTTTTAATTTTTAGAATTTTTGATTTTTCAGTTTTCTGATTTTTGTTTTCTCGATTATAATTTTTAGATTTTCCAACTTTTCGTTTCTTCTATTTTTCGATTAACAATTTTCCTAATTTTTAGTTTTAAATAATACTTCAATTTTTCAACTTTCGAACATTTTAGTTTTCCGATTTTGAATTTTTTAATACTTGGATTTTTTGTTTCTTTAATTTTTCGAGGGGGAATTTTTCTTACTTCCATTTTTAAATTTTGAGATTTTTAATTTTTGAATTTTTCTATTTTTCGATGTTTCAGTGTTACAATTGTTCAATTTTTTTATTTTTGATTCTTCAATTTCCCGATTTTTTAATTTACTTATAGAATTTTCGGTTTTCAAATTTTCGTAATTTTCAATCTCCTGATTTTTTAATTTTACGGTATAATTTTTCAAATTTTCAATTAACCAATTCTTCAATTTGCAGTTTTCCCAATTTTCATATTTTAAACTTTTCCATAACAAAATTTTAGTGTTGGCATTTTTCAATGTTTCAATTTTTCGAATTTTGATTTTCCAATTTTTCCGTTTTTTCGATGTTTCTCGATTTTTCAACTTTTGTTCCTTCACTTTTTCGATTTTTTCATTAAATTTTTCGGTTTCTTAACTTTAAAAATTTTCAATTTTTCAGTTTTCCGACTTTTGTTTTCTCGATTTTAATTTTTCGATTTTACAACTTTTCGTTTCTTTTATTTTGCGATTAGCAACTTTTTCAATTTTCAGTTTTAAATATTTCAATTTTTCAACTTTTGAAGTATTTAGTTTATCGATTTTGAATTTTTAAAATTTAGATTTTTTGTTTTTTCAATTTTTGGATTAGGAATTTTTCTTATTTCCATAATTAAATTTTTAGGTTTTGAATTTTTGAATTTTTCGATGTTTCAGTGTTACAATTTTTCGATTTTATTTTAAAATTTTCAATCAATTCATTCTTCAATTTGCAGTTTCGAATTTTCAATTTTAAAATTTTTCTATAATCAAATTTTACACTGTTGCCATTTTTCGATGTTTCAATTTCCCGACTTTTCATTTTCCAATTTTTCGATTTACAATTTTTAGATGTTTTAAATTTTCGTTTTTTAAATGTTTTAAAGATTTAAATTTTTGAATTTTCAATTTTTAGTGTTTTATTGTTACAATTTTCCGATTTCTTAAA